CGCTGCATGGAGGGAGGGCACCAGTGGATACAGTTCATACAGTGCCTCTCTCCTCAACAACAGCCATTGCTGAACGCTGCATGGAGGGAGGGCACTAGTACACACAGTTCATACACTGCTTCTCTCCTCAAGTGATCAACAGCAATTAAGCTGATCACCTTTTCAAAACATACCAGGAAGTTGCCTCACCTTACCTAACTGAAACTGAAAGTAAAGTAATCCCAAGTGGTGGAGCTTTTCTTGAGTTTTCCTCTGCTAGTTTTACAGTGTTAGGGCTCAAATATTTTGTTTTCAGGTCCTTAGTAAATATGTTTTACTATTCCACTGTAATGCTCTATGCAGGTAGCATCATCATATTGTGGAAAATGACAGAATATCAATAACTATCCTTCCTTCTTTTGTGGAAGTCCAAAACAGACACAAAAATAGAATAAGAAACTAACAACATCCTTGAAGAGATGATGTAGAATAGCACTGTGTGTGAGGTAGAGTCACAGAGAGAACAGGAACATGAGAGGGACCAGAAAGAAAACAGTTACAAAGCAACCCTGAGAAGGATGTACTTGACACATACACCACAAAAAAGTGGGAACAAAGACAGAGGTGGGGATGCAGAGGTGTAGAAAGGTTAAGGTGTAAAAGGGACAAGAGACTGTCACCTCACAGGACACCAAGAAAGTCACACGTTTTATAAAAACCTTTCAGAAAACTCAGGCTAACATCCAACTAAAATGAAAAGAAATCTAAGGATTACTAGACTCTTCTACAAAAGCATTAAACATGAATATACTACAGTCATTGTGTTTCTTTACACCAATTCACTGAAATCAGGATTTCCAAGAGCAATTAGCACACCAGTGTCATTGTGGTGCTATTCATAATAGCAAGCAAGGAGAAACAAACCACATCTATAAGCAAATAGATAAAGGCAAGGTGATAAACACATGTGACAGAACATAATTTACCCTTAAAAAAAAACAGGAAACTTCACACAAGGAGACAAAATGGATGAACCTCCAGAACATTACATTAAGTGAAATATGTCTATTACATATGGACAAGCATTGCTGACGCTACTGTATAACATGTTTAAAGTTGGCAAACTCTCAGAACGTCAGGGATAAACTATGATGCAGAGGATAGGGGCTGGAGCAACTAAGGATCTGCTAATTCTTGGACATAAAGTTTCACTTTTCAGGACAAATAATTTCTAGAGATTGCGCACACACTGAGACTACAGTTTAAAGTACCATATTATGCACAAAGTCTTGTTAAAAGGGAGGCCTTCAGTGTTCTTATTACAATTTCCAAAAAGAAACACTAACCTTGAACTAAAAAAATAATAATATCAGCTTAAAAATTTTAAGTACATCCTAAGGAAATTATTAGGTCATAGGTTGAAAAAAATCTTGCAACACAATCATTCAACAAAAACATGTGTGTTCACACTATACAAAGAACTCTCAGAAATGATTAAAGCAAACTTTAAAAAACAGGCAAAAGGCTTGTAAGCTTCAGTAATAAAGATGTCTAATAAGCATGAAGATTTACACATAATCAGCCATCGGGAAATGTAGTTCAGGAAATCCTGCTAAATGAAAGGACTAGCAATGCCAGGTAGCAAGGAGCAAGTGTGGCATGGGACAGAGTTTGGTTGTTTTAGGAAAGGTAAACATGAGTCTGCCCTATCATCTAACAACTACAATCCTCAGGGTATATCCAAGAGGATAAAAGCACAAGTATGTGATGTTTTATTCACTGTTGTCAAATACTAGGAACAAACTAAATGTCTACCAATAAAGAGATGAATAAACAAACTGTAGCCTGTCACAACAGCTTTCAGTTCAGCAAGAAAAAAATATGGGATGTTGATTCATACAGCAAATGAACTGATCTAAATACTATGTTGAGCACAAGTCATTAGTCACTAGACAAAACACACTATATTATTTCATTCACATAAATTTCAAGAATAAATGAAATACCTCTATAAGACAGTAGTTGTCTGAGTTTGTATGGGATTGTCAGTCAGCTGCACAAGGGAACTTTCTGGACTAAATGGAATTATTTGGGCAGAAGTTACATG